TATCTCGCGGAGCGTGGTAGCTTCTGGGGAAATTAGTGCTGCAAAAATTCATGCCCGTGGAAGATTTGCGTAAATTAATTTACGGCGTACCGAGCCGGTCTCGCCTGCGGAAAAAAGAGGATAAAATTCAATTTTTAGGTCGGCCTCGCGACTCGGTCGCGGCTCGAGGAGCTGCGCTGATTGTTGCTTCCGCGGCCGACGTGCGTCGGCTGACGATCGCTAAACAATGCATTTGACGCGTCATGAAATGAAAATTCTCCGACGACGAGCTGCGCATTATACGTCTGAATTACTGAATTACCGTTATGTTAGCTCCTCGTTAAAAAAAAAATGGTGGATTATTTATTTTTTATTAAATTCATTACGGGGCGCCGCTACGTAATTCGTTGTGTTATTTAAAAGTGACGCTGCTGCTAAACAGCGCGCTATTAAACCGCTGTTGTATTATCCCTACCTACATTTACACGGAGCGAGTTTACGTTTAGTTCACGCTTTCTTTCTGAACCCCGCTGGAGACTGCTAAACAGAATTCGAGATAATGGGTAGGGTCCTTCCAGGACGTCAGCGAAAGAGATAGCTGCTTGAAAGCCTCCTATTTCGCCGACATGGAGACGCGCATTAAGTTCTCTCTCGTAATATTCCTATAGCATTAAAGCAAATTTCAAGGCCCATGCGGGATTCAAGATACCGTTTGCCTCCACTAATCCCCTCAGGGAAGTATAACGAATATCACTTTGTAAGGAATAATTAACGAGAGCGCGCTTGAGAATCGGATAAAATAATTGGCCAGCAGTTTGTAGTCGGCGAACGTAAATATTCGCGCGTTTTCCCGGAGTCTGTCATAATCGAGACATTACGGCGGGATTTGTGCCCTAATTAACATTAATTCTTTCTGTGATTTAGCGACCTAATGGCGAGAGCCATTCAACGCGCGACGGGGTTCGCCGTGAAATTCGAAAAATTACCACGTCACGTGTGGCTCGGCTCTCCCTCACCTCCCGGGAGGAGAGAGATTTATGGTTTTTCGTAAGCATGGCGGGGGGAGGGAATCGGTATGGAAACTTTTTACGACGTACTTTTGACGAAGTTCGAGAAGTAACGAGGCGCGTCCGCGTCGTTCGGTCGTTGCCGCTGCGACTGCTACGGGCTGCCGTTGCCGCAGTTGTTGGAAAACTCTTGCGTGTGCGAAGCTTCTTCTCCCGAAGATACGGGGAGAAAATCGCGTGTGAAATCTCATTTCTACGATGAGAGACGAACGCGCGAGTCGAACGCGCGCGATCGAGGACGAGCGCGATATATTTTTCCGTCGCGGAACGGCGGCGACGGCGACGCGGCGGCACGAACGTTATCCACCGTCGAAAAACTTTTTACATTATGTTAACTTGCGCGCGCGAAATGGACCCCTAGGACTAAGCAGCACACGCGCTCCGGGAGGGTGATTCCGAAGTTCGGAGGAGAACACGTCGCGCGTGCCTCCCGATCGTACAACGATCCTCGGAGAGAGATCCTCCCGGCTTCTCCTCTCGTTCTCGCCGCGTCGTTAAATTATATCGATTACAATTCGAAGTTCGGTGCGGAATGCAACGCACGCGTAACGCACCAAATGCGAGATTCTTCCTACGATCGTTATTATTTTACTGCGCGGCTCTCGCGATCTATGGAATACCGTCTATAAATACGGCTGAGCTCGAACGAGCGCGAATTGCGTCGACGACGAAGATTAGTTATTAGCTCGTGAAAGTTTACGACGTTAATATTCCGAATTCGCGTGGATCGCGCGCGACGAAATGGCGTGCGGAATTATGCGAACCGAAGAACACGAGGAGGTAACATTCTCTTTCTTCTCTCTCTCTCTCTCTCTCTCTCTCTCTCTCTCTCTTTCTTTTTCTCTCTTAGCAGCGGGGATAGAAACCGATGAAGGAGGGCTGAAACACATCGGAAAGGCGCGTCGCGACGCGCACCGTGTTCCTTGTGCGCGAAGCGTAAACGAAGAAAAAGGGAAAAAAGTCTACATAGTGAAGAAGAAGGCATTAAGACAAAGAATGTCAGTACTCGGCGTCTGTTTCTTAGAACAGAACGAATTCATTGATTTTATAGATATCCTCCTAACCTTCAATCGAGAAAGAGACGTCGACGAGTAATTAATGTTCCACTGAATCTCACTCTTTTCCTTCATTTTCTGAATCATAAAGAATTATCCGAATTATCATTATCTATCACTAATTGACTGTGGATACTTTTTTCGTACCGTATTTCATAATAATTATCATATATAATCATAATAATTTCATAAGTAATTAACTTTTTGATGTCTACACATTTCGATTTGAAAAACGGATGCAAGTAATTTTATTTATACAAATCTTTATAAAGATCTGAAAGTTATTGATTGAAGTTGAAGTAATCGATCAGTTCGAGCAATCATTCATAAATTCCGTCTAAGCTTCAAAGATTTGATTGTAACATTGTGATTCTTTCTCTTTTGACAGGTTAATCCTTCATCCATCATCCATTATAAACGCGTATTCTTGCGAAAAGATACCATTGATTAAGGTTTTCGAATAATCCGATTTAGGTGAAACTTTATATTATATTCCTGTCGAACTTTTGTCGATTATCTGTCCCAAGAAGTCAGCCCACTCATTGATACCCATTGTGAATAAGGCTTAAGTATCCGTGATGAGGATCGTAACTCGCTTAGTATCGCTCCAAAGAGATATCATTCGGCGACTGCAACGACCGCGAGTAGTATCGTCGAGAATTACGAGCGTCATTACCATTTGGAGTAATGCTCGGAGTGAATCCTCGAACTGTCGTGTCTTGAGAGACTACGACCCTTTTTGCCGAAAAGCGATATCGCCATTTCGATATGTGCCCGGCATTCCGGCGAGGATCAGTTATGAGATGATTACATTTGTAACATTGTGTGACAAACAAATTTTGATTTTCTTTTATATGTGTACTAATGTTATGATATGTTTTTCTATGTATACTATTATGATACATATTAGGTGTAACAATTTTCAACTTAAGCATAATAATAAAGTAGGAAACGTGTTTGTCCTCTTCGTCCTCTTTTTATTTTATTGATTTTGAGAATATAGATAGTCCATTGATTTATTTGATAAAAAAAATTTTTTTTCATATACGGAAAAATCAATATGTTTAATAAAAATAGAGATGAAGTCTAGTAAAATTGCGTGCCTAGTAAAAAATATTTTTATTATATTAAAATTACGTTTCATTCTAATAAGATCAGGTTACTTATATTTTTTATGCATATTTAAAATTTAAAGGAGGTCATTTCAGCCGTGATACAAGATGAAATTTTATGATTGTTTGAAAATCATGAATTTCCATGTAAAATTAATTACTGAATCCGAAAGTAATAAAATTAAAGGGTAATTTTGACTGGGACAAAGCAAAATAATGTAAAACGTATTTTTAATCAAAAATCATTCAAATGTTTCCTTTTTTGGTTTTTCTACAATTTTCTTTGTAAATATTAATAAAAAAATTTTTAGATTTTAATTTTTGAGATACTGTGTGTTTTGGAAGCGAAAATACTACATACATAAAAATACTACATATATAAATTATTATAATTCGAGCACATTTGTTTTATTATTAAGTTTTACTTTGTTTTACCAACTTGTTTTGCTTTTGTTTTGCTGAATGTAAATTGAGTAGGCTATGAAATGTCAAACTGCTGTTAAAATGTTAAAATACACTTATGTTACATAATGGTTCATCCACAAAGAAAATGGGAAAATAGAAAAGTCGGAAAAAGGTAGAAATTTGAGCGATTTTTTACTACTAAAAATGTATTTTTTCACTATTTTGCTCTACTCCAATCGTTTTAATTTTATGCTTTTCAACAATCAATTTTTTTTACCTGAAAATAAATGCTTTCAGACAATCACAAAATTTTATTTTGCATCACGGTCGAAATGACTTCTTTTAAACTTCAAATGTACATAAAAAACATAAATAACTTAATCTCGCAGCACGGAACGCACTTTTACATTATGTTTTTGTTTCTACTTTTACGAACATATTGATTTTTTTCATGCGTGTAAAAAATATTTTTGTTATACAGTATAAGAATCTAAATTATAATATTTGAACAAATCTATGAAATAACTGATAAAATCATAACTCAACACTACTCACAATTTTTTTACATTTATTTACTTTACTTGATCATCGATGAATTTCGTTTAACAGATCGATTTTATTTGAAAAAATATTTTATGATGACTTTGATTTATTTTTAAACCTAACTCCTCGTTCTAAAAATTTCGATTGGAATTTTCAACGGCTTGTTTTGTCCAAGATTCCATGAACTGGTTTCTCGGTTATCAAATATAACAGTTGCACTCGAAAGTTATTAATATCTTAATTACGACAGACTCTCGTTTTTGCGAGGACGTCTGGTCGATCGGTTCTTCAAAGGAGACAAGAGTCTGCCTACACGACTTCTTCTACTAACAGCAGAAGCGTTATATATAATCTGCACGTAATCTTTATTAATTCTTCTATTTCTTCATTATAATTATCTTCATACTAATTATATCTTACTTTTTTAATATAACTAAATTATAAATTATCACAATTAAAAAAATCTTTTGAGCATTGGTCCTAGTTGAATAAGATTAATCCATTGGATTAACATTTTCAGGTCGCTCGATGCTTCCACAACTGCAATTTTTTAATCCTTTTTTAATTTTATCTCTTTAGCAGCATTTATTCTCATTTACAAATTGCGAGTTATTATAATTTTACATCGCGATGTAACGGCAATGCGGAGACGTGGCAAAGGGTTATAGCGTGCGATCGGCGTGCGGGCGGCGATATAAATTTACCATATTTCTGAGCCGTCGCGTTACCGCGCAATCACGGGCGGAGGCACGCACGCGCTCGCGATCGAACGCCAGTCGGTGGAAAATTCGCGATGAGACGTCGCGTCGAATGGGAGAGAAGAGAGCCAAAAGGAGGTTCCGCGACGGCACGCGGACGCGCGCAGCTGACGCGAGCGACGGATAAAAGCGAGCGTCGTCGTGCAGCGCGTACATTTATCGCGCGTCTACGAAACCATCAACCAGGACGATGGCGGCACGTGGGAAGACGAGCGCGAGCGCCTCGTAAACTACGACGTACCCTTAAATCGCTCGACGATCGACCGCATCCCGCTTTCGACGGATTTCGATGCGAGATAATCCGCGCGGGCACGGATCAAGAGTGACTTTGCGCTCGAAATCGGACGCGTTCGAGAGAACAAATCAATTCATTTACCTTTGCCCGTCGCTTTTCCTTGAGATTTTTCAACTGAGATTTTCAGTCTCGTCGCGTCAATAAGTATTTGTTAAAAATGGTGTGACAACTGGTGTGAGACAGTAGCGAACGATCCGGGAGCGTGATTTTCCATTGGGAAACGTCCATGATTGAGACAAGTAGAACGTGATAGTATCGAGCCAGGATCTGGAGTTATTTGAGAGGAAAATTGTATCTATATCATTTGGACCGTGATATTGACGAGAACCACCAGCTGCGTTAAACGCAGCGGGATAGAGACTCGTGAAAGAACGAAAATACAAAAAAAGACATTCATCCACACTGACTGTTCGACGCGTGACGTGTCCAATGGATTGGATAGCTAGCCGATAATCGACGCGATAACACTGCAGGCTACATCGATACATTATCAGTAGACAGTTCGTACAAGAGAGGCGACAGGCATTGCCGAGAAGAAATCACGTGTCTAAGGAGGGTCCGGCCGCCAACGTTGCGCGACGTAATCTAATCGGAACCGGCTGTCAGGTGAGAATCCAAGATAGCGAGATGTGGAATCCGCGATTTACTTTACCGTTACGGCGCGTTATCGAAATTAACTGGTTGCTACGCGATTAAATTATCTCGTCGGATGATTCGTTAGATTCGTTTCGGTCGTTGCCTCGAAGCAAGACCGTCTCGCAAGGAAGACAAATGTCTTCCACGGTAATTAAGCAGCAGGAACGTAGATATTCATCTTGACAAAATCCTCGTTCTCGTTTTGACGTAAAGGAGAGATGACCTATCTGTTGTCTTATCTCCAGCCTCGCATCGCGAACCGGAAAGTATCAGGTGGATGACATAAACAAACGATAACAAATTTTACTCCGTATTACATTAACGATAAGCGTTCGTTATATTGGGGGAGGGGGGGGGGAAGAAAAATACACGCGGCCGTAATGTGTAAATGTAAATCATATACGGATAACCCGTCCATATCTAATCATTGTTAATTAAAATGATTAATGAGGAAAGCCCATTAACACGCGTGCAGATAGCAATCGGGCTCGATCAGATTAGCGAGATTTCAATCTCTCGATGTTGCGCTGCTCCGCGGCTCCATACGGTTTATTTAAAATCAACGTTGCATGCAGGCCATGAATATTTACAAATAGTAGTACACGAATTGTCCGCGCAAATTATTCCTACTCCTTTGAATGGAATCGCAGTGATAAAGGATATCCTGATTCCTTTCAGGTGTATGTTCCTATTATCCGTACGTGTCGCGCGATATCTAAAATCTCTCTTTCTCTCTCTTTCTCTCGCCGGTTTGTCATTCACATTTGTTCCGCATCCGATCATTCATTAGCGTCATGTACCGAGTAGTGCGCTTCTGTTGGTCGATCTTATCTTTGCGAGTACTTTGTGCGAACGAGCTCACGTTCGCGCGTGGAAAACGAGATTGTCGTTGTGACTTCTTTGGAAGTCGGCCGTATCGAGATCGAGAAAATACGCGCGAGATAAACTCCACGATTTTTCCCGGTATTCGGCGTAAACGCCGTCACGGGGAAGGGGGAAGAGATTTTCGCCGGAAGGGAAGGAAAAGGACTGGCTAGCCGGGGCGTTCCTCGAATTACCGGCGGAATTAGCCGCGGCGCGGCTACATCACAATTAATTCGTAATTAAATCCTTTCGGCGGAGAGAGGGGGCGTGGTCCCCCCTTTCGTATACATACCGTGGCTCTCGCGTGGGCGGCCAGAGCACTCGAAAGCATGCTCCGACGAGCGATGATGTCGGAGGGGAGGGGGGGGAGCGCGTATCGCCGCGCCGGTGTGACAGCAGGAAATAAAGGGCAAGCCGTGCATTAACGTCGACGGTCAAAGGGTCGCTCGAATATCGACCGAGAGACGGTCGACAGTGTTAAATTGCCATTTGTCGGTCGGGGAATGTCCCCGCTTGCGCTTCGTACTCGCCGCTGACTGTCGTCCGATATATGTCGTCCGTCTTGTATGCTTTGACTCCCCATCGATGAGATATCCTAACGCTCCACATGACACCATCGTGTCACTTTTAGTATATCGTCGAACGTCGTTTCCCTTCGTTTCGGTTCGTTTTCCATTCATCCATACCTTTTATACGCGCAAATAGTCACGACAGAATATTCCATTGAAGCGAAAGTCAGCATGTAAATAGCCAACGACACGCTTCTCCAACGAGATTTCTTTACTGCACTTTCTTTGCGCGTATCTGCATGTATGTGTACACTTTATGCATTTGAAATGAAATAAATCAGATATATTTAAAGTTTTTCTAAGTGAAAAAGATGGGAAAAACACATATAAAAAGAAATATAGAAAATACCATTAAATAAATCTATTTTTTATACTTTATCAGATAAATATGTGCGATATAATTTAGTATATTCTGGATGTCTCTATTTTAAACTTACTTTACTTTTTAAACTAATATATTAAGCGTACAAAAAAACATATGAATTATAAAATCGATTTATATTTTAAACTAATTTATATAATTCCAATTTTTTTTAATATTTTCGTAAAAAATATAGTTATATTAATTGATGCAAATAGAAAGATATTTATTGTTGCTAAAAATATAACAAGCAAAAAAAAGAGAGTTTATCTTCAAAATTTCGCCAAACCAATAATATGAGTTATAATATTACAAGCGGATAAGTTTGTTAAAAATACCGTTGAACCACTGTAAATATGTAGATGTTAGTGACATATTGAATCGCAAATAGTAGCAATCGTAAAATTTATTTTGGGAATGGCATTTATTTTGAAAAAGATCGCTGAAAAAAATACGATTTGCCGAAAATAAAATTCAGGAAAAGTCCCCGATGAATCCCTGCAAATATAGATTATTTACCATAGGATCGTACACGAGATGCGAAGATTACTTTTGCCATCCTGATCGCGTTTCTGATCGAGTTCCCGGGTAGCGCGGAAAACTCAATACGAATTACCGCCCGGGGGTATAATATCGGCCATCCGAGCCTAGTCGCATCCTCCCCGGCACCAAGTGGAAATCCCGTCTGATCCCTTCTGTCGATTTCACGTGCGTCACGTTCATCCTCTTCAATCCACATCGCGCAGCTTTTATTACGCTACTATTATTAAGACACGTCATGATATGCAGCATTGACGAGGATTGGAAACGAATAATTGTCACACGATTTTGTAACTGAACGTTACTTACGTTTCGGATACGTAGGATAAAAAACTTTTTTTATATCATTCTCTTTTTTGCTCGTTTGGTCCAATCCAAGTATTCAATCCAGTTGATATTCCTTGAATCCTCTCAATAATATCGATCGTCTATAGTGACGGTAACGCTTATGATAATTAAAAATGTTTTTAATTATCAACGCAACGGATTATTTATAGAATCTTTGGCCATAAAATTCTTACGCTTTTCCTTTCAAATTTATTTTGCAAATTACGTATCTTATTTCTGATCAAATATATCTATTGCCAGATCTGTCGGTTATAGCAGCGAATCAAGCGTTTGCTATGCAATTTACAAGTAGAAAGTATAAGTGAAAATCAATATTTTCTTTTTCAAAGACTCGGTTCTTTATCTTCCAGGAAGATGGAAACTTTGAAGAACTTATATAATGGGCAGATAACATATTTGCATGGCATACAAAATAAGCGAAACGCAAGTTCCCACGTGTTTCTCGTTTAATACATGCACTTCCATAAAGTGTATATCAGACATGACTATATATAGATAGAGACTCCTTTCTCGCTTCCTTCTTCTTTTGCATCTCCGCTATTCTCATTTAGTCGTGACCAGATTTCAAGTCAAGCCGTAACTGAAAAAAATGGCTAAAAACACTACAAACCGTGAGATCGTTGAAACGATATTCACGTTAAAAAGATACTCTTAATATTTAAAATATTCATTTTAATATAAAAAATAAACATGAAAAAATTTTATGAACAAATTTGTTATTATAATACTTAGATTATGATATGCACTACTTGTTTCACTAGTCATACGTTGTTATTACGTTCAACGAACTCTGCAGAAAATATATTCTACATTACTTAATACTTTTTATATCTCCCGTCAGGACGAAATTAGAATACTGGCTAAAGTATCACGGAAGATATTTCGAAATTTCCGGATGCAATATTGGAGTAAATCCGCTTGATATTATTATGGCAAGTAGCTTTCTCATCTGGCCACGCGTACGGTACAGTTTTATGCCACCTTGCGATTGGAAGTGCCGACGGAACGAGAAGGACGAAGAAGTCGCACTACTGGTAGCGCCATTAATGCTACGTCAAAGGGGGTAAACCGGTCACGCATACACACGCGCATAAATGCATCACGGTAGCTCGCGCAAAGCACGGGCGTACTCATTAAAAAACGCGTAATGTATTACATACATACGTCGCGCGAGCAAATGAGAGAGCACCGCGACGCTTTTGTCACGCCGGCGTCGCTTGGCGTCGTCTAGCTGACGTCGCGGAATTTCGGTAACGCGTTCGGGAACGCTGAGAAGAATCGCTCGGAGAGAAATCATCGTCACCGAAAATTCCCGTATTTTCATGCAAATTTTCCGACGCCGCGGTTTCGCGTCCCTCCCTCCTTCTCTCCTCCGACACGACGTTGTTCGCTCTTGCCTCGGTGTTCTTAACCCGCGTCGCGTCGCAACGCGTCGTCCTCCCCCCGTCGTCATCCTCCTCGTCGTCGTTGTCGTCGCCGTCGCGCCTTTTGTCTGTCTGCTGCTGGTCCGTGCGAACGTTCAGGAATTAGTATTCGACGCCGCGTCTCCACGGCCTTTTTTCGTATGCCGCGGGGCAGGTCCGAGGCCGACGAAACATACGGGAACGACGGAATTTTTTCTACGACTTTTCCCGCTTTTTTGACGCCGGGAGGGAGATGCGCGCCGTCACTCGTTCGTATGTTGAACCGGACGTACCTCGAATGCAAATTATCGTTTACCACAACCACCACCAGTGGAAACGCATCACTCAGCATAGAAACAACTGTTACACGATAAACGCTGTGTGCGCCCACACGAGAGAAATATTGACGTGACTACATTACATTTTACAATAATGAGCTGCAGTAAGAAGAAATAGTCAGATTAAAAGTAAAGATAAAACTTTCACGTAATTATTTGATTTGCGATTTTTCTTCCACGAAATTAAGATGCCTTTCTTTTTAAATTTTGTTACTTTTACCCACGGTGATTTACGAGTTAATGATTTCAAAAGAGAAGATTTCATAAATATAAATTTTGTAAAGGTTCAGATGGTTAGGCTCTCACTTATCAGAACGCATTATCGGCTTTTTATCCTGTTTCGAATTTTACATGTAAGATACATGTCACTTACATTCTCTCTCAAGGTACCAAAAAATCCGGTTATCTATCTAGATGCTTCTCTCTCTCTCTCTCTCT